ACTTGTTACTTTCTGCAACCACCGCCACCACTGCCGCCGCCGCCACCGCCATTTTCTGAGGAAATCTCGAGGAACCCAGTTCGTCAAACCCTAAACCGGATCCGAATCCAAGCTTTCCGGCCGAAATTCAGCAATCCGAGACCTGGGTTTTGCTCACATTCGCCATTGAAGATGACCCAGCTCAAGCAAATGTCCCACCTAGACAACAGTCCGCCGACGCCTGGCAAGTTCAAGATGGACAAGTCGCCCTACATTCACCGCCTCCGCTTGCACGGCTCTCTCGCCAAGCTCACATTCTGGTCCTTTGTTTTCCTCGGCTTGATCTTGATCTTCTTCTTTCGCTCGCCATCCTCCAATTCTCTTCCATCCGATCCCTCGCGCCGCTCTCTCAGAACCTACAATTGGGGCGGACCCGCCTGGGAAAAACGGGTCAGGTCCTCCGCCAAAGTCCGGTCCCGCCACGGAATCTCCGTCCTCGTCACCGGTGCGGCAGGCTTCGTCGGGACCCACGTGTCGGCGGCGCTCAAACGCCGCGGTGATGGGGTCCTTGGTCTGGACTGCTTCAATGACTACTACGACCCTTCGTTGAAGAGGGCTCGGCAGGCGCTTTTGGAGCGGAGTGGGGTGTTCATTGTGGAAGGCGACATAAACGACGCTCCTTTGCTGAGCAAGCTCTTCGAGGTGGTGGCGTTCACCCATGTGATGCATTTGGCTGCCCAAGCTGGTGTGAGGTATGCCATGGAAAACCCAGGCTCATATGTTCATAGTAATATAGCTGGTCTTGTTAATCTTCTTGAAGTTTGTAAAAATGCAAATCCACAACCTGCAATTGTTTGGGCAAGTTCTAGTTCTGTTTATGGATTAAATACTAAGGTACCCTTTTCGGAAAGAGACCGGACTGACCAGCCGGCTAGTCTTTATGCCGCCACCAAGAAAGCCGGTGAGGAAATTGCACACACTTACAACCATATCTATGGCCTTTCCCTTACCGGGTTACGGTTCTTTACTGTTTATGGCCCGTGGGGAAGGCCTGATATGGCATACTTCTTTTTCACAAGGGATATATTGAAGGGTAAGACCATTCCAATCTTTGAGGGGGCTAATCATAGAACGGTTGCAAGGGATTTTACCTACATTGATGATATTGTGAAGGGATGCTTGGCGTCATTAGATACCGCCGAGAAGAGTACTGGGAGTGGGGGAAAGAAGAAGGGGCCTGCCCAATTGCGGGTTTTCAATTTGGGGAATACATCACCTGTTCCAGTTACGGATCTTGTGACCATTTTGGAGAGACTTTTAAAGGTGAAGGCTAAGAGAAAGATAACAAAGTTGCCACGTAATGGGGATGTTCAGTTTACACACGCAAACATCAGTTTGGCTCAGAGGGAACTTGGATATAAGCCCACAACGGATCTGCAGACAGGGCTGAAGAAATTCGTTCGGTGGTACCTCAGTTACTATTCTGGTGGGAAGAAAGCCTCTGGATGATAAAATTCTTTTGATAGTGCGGTAGACCCCTTTGAATTCTTGTTGAATATAAATATTATGATTGTTTTTAACGTTTCTGTCAGTGCCCGTATTGTTTTTCTATATATCATTATGATGTAATGCCATATGAGGAGGAACCTTGTGAACTATGGTGAAGAAGTTTTGTGGTTGTGGGACATTGTCGTCTAAGTACTCCCATGCTGTATTGAGCGAAATTGAGGACCATCTCTTTCTATTTTTTGTTGGAATGTAATTGTTGGAGCTATGGCGTTGTAGAATTCATGACTGATAGAGCATATGCTAATTGGTGAACGTATATCATTGCCAAGCAATCAATAAAATAGCGCACGATAGTTTGGATCCTAACTACCATATGAAGTGAATCACAATATTTTTGTGCAATACGTTATTTTTTTTCTTCATAAACTGCATTTTTTGTAATTAATGTCTGTAATTGATGGCCATCGATTCCTATGCTGCAGTTTTATGGTTAATTTTGCAGCTGACTTTGTTGCCCTGTACTCTGACCTTTAGAACGAGGTTAAGTATGCCATGTAGCTCAACTGCAAGGCTAATCCTGCTCCCCCTTTATTGCTTAGAGTTAATGACAGATCATTCTTGCATATCAGGTTTGCATTTCAGTTTTCCTTTACTTTCTGGTTTATATTGTCAATAATACACATGATATTTGGGGTGCTAAAATTATATGTTCTGCTAAGCTTTATACTCTATATCATGAATTTGGGTGCTCATTTACTGTATTCCTTGGAAATGACATAGTTAGCCAAAGAACTTTTAATTTTTACTCTGAGTTAGATTTGAATCCTCTCTATCATTTGGTTATCTCTCGTTTAGGGTTCTTATTAACCTTTTGGTTTTCTTCTTTTGTTGAAAGACGATGAATTTAGAAGTACATAAAAAAGTGGAAAGTGAAAACTTCTATTCATTTATTTATATATCTTTCTTCTGTTGTCAATTTCTTTTGTTACAGACTTTAGCTTCTTCTTTTTCCTCCTTCGGCTGATTTTGGAAGTCCCGTTTGGCATTATACGTATGTTAAAACTTAAAACTACCTCAAGTAACTCTTTCATCTTTTTTTTATCCACATTTCCTTATTTGTGCATGATATAGTTTTGGTAAACTGTATGTTGTCTTTGTTTTAGTAAGCGAGTTATGACAAAGATGATAATTCCATAGTCCAAATACAGGGTTGGACATTTTTTTTTTTTAAATTTCAGTAACATGTTATGTTATCAACACTGTTAATCTGTAGCATACATTCAACAAGAAACCGTCTAATAAAGTCCAGATTGAAAGTGCGGTAGCATAACACTTGTTGGGTAAGAAGACCGTTGACTTGCTTTTCATTACAATTCATTTATTTCTTGTAATCAATCTCATGTTCTGCCAATTTTAGTTCCAGAAGACGGCAAGAATACGCTTGGCTTTTTGTTAAACTGTCTTTACATGCTTGGGGATGATTGCATTCTATTATAAACTAGTAGTTTGTGTCTTGGATGGCTAATAAGTTGCAGGAGTACTGAGTCATTAAGATTATTTTGAAAGAAGTTCGAGAAGGGGTAATATTCTTTTCTCAGATATCTGGCATGTTATGTTATCAACACTGTTAATCTGTAGCATACATTCAACAAGAAACCGTCTAATAAAGTCCAGATTGAAAGTGCGGTAGCATAACACGTGTTGGGTAAGAAAAAATTATCAAGTTTTGGCAGAGGATGCAAAAAGGAACAAGTGGGAAAGAGTGGGAAGGCGTCAAACGTATAGTTGTCTCGGATCATTTGACATGTTGAACGGAACAATAAGCTTCAAAAGGTAATCAGTTTTCTTCTACGCCGATTCGACATATGTTTATATGTGGTGTTAGTTTGTTTTTGCATATTTAGACGTTTATTGCCTTTCATTATATGTTTTTTTGGAGAGGGGCCGTCCTCTTTTAACAATTCAATTATTTGATTTGCCTGAATTTTGGACACTTCTGGGAAATTGTGTTGGGTGTGTGCCTGATTTAACTTGTCAGCAAAGGAAAGGGATCCTCTCCGGATCCCTTCCTCCTAATCCATCAAGTCCGAGGATCCGGGCCATTGAAATTTAATTAAACGGCTAAAGTTATTATAACTTTTAAAGTGGGTCTCTGTTTGTAGCCGTTTGATCAAATTTTAATGGTTTGGATCTTCGGTGGATTAGGCGGTAGGGATCTGGAGAGGATCCTTTTCCGTCAGCAAAGCCTAATAAGTAATTTCAAAAATCCAGTCGGTCATTTGGCTCCAATATGGATTTTCTTGAATTGACATTGGTTGGATTTAGCTAAATTCTGTCATCTGTGCGGGCGTGGACGGTCGTGAATAATTGATTGTTAGGAGGCCCATCGTTAAACAACTGCGCTAACATAGCTCCTAATTTCAGGCACCAATGATCAAAACCGGATATCACTGTACAGTTGATTTTCTCATCAACTAAACAGAATGTCTCAATTTAGTAACGGCAATTAGGGGCTACTATTCTATACAACAAATAGAAATTAATGACACTAAACTATAATGTTAGTGACAGTAAATGGAGGCACATTTAGTGATGAATGATATTACTCCAATTGCTAGAGATGATTTGCTTGGACAGGATAACGCACTAGTTTCAAAGCTTAATAAAAGAAAATGATGATATCTATGCGGGACACTCATTTCCCCTTTGACCGGGTTGAAATTCCTAGCAAGATTTTTATTGAGGCATATGTAATTGCACCCTATTCTCATCTCTTGTACATCTTTCCAATTTCTATGAATGAATATCATACTATACCTAAAAAAAAATCCCCCTAAAACTGATCGTATTGAAGGGAATACCTTCCTTCATAAATATTTCATCTTCTACCTTCAAACTTGAACAACGCTTATAACTTGTCCTCTATTTCTTTCTTCAATATACCTTAATCTAGTGAGTTGTGTTTTCAAGTCAATCCTCCAAAAGAAACGCACCACAAAAAGCTACTTGGGTTAGCGTGGTGAGTAGACTGATGAGTATGAATAGCAACTGAAATATTCCATGGTCAAACCAATTAAAAATAAAAGCTGCGATTGATCATTAGTTGAAAATTATTACCTAGGCTACTACAAAACAAAAACAAATTCATCATTTTGTTGGAAAAGCTTAGCAGCCTCTCGAGTTTTGATTCAACGTGGGGCTCGGTGGAGGGTAGGTAATGGGTTGAAGATTAAGATTTGGGGAGATAGCTGGTTGCCGAGAGAAAATTATGCTAAAGTTTTGAGCCCCCGGCCACTAGGAGTGCATCACAACCTCACGGTTAGATCTCTGATGGTGGAGACGGATCGACTAGGATGGAATGTGCAGGAGGTATCACAAATGTTCTTTCCTGAAGAGGCCACTCTCATTTTCAATATTCCATTGAGTTTATTTAGTCCAACTGATGAATTGATTTGGATTAAAGAACCCAGGGGAAAATTTACAACAAAGAGTGCTTATTTTGTTGCTCGGACATGTCGGCAGAGATTAAATTTATGTGGAAGGCACCGTGGCGTGCAAAAGTACCGGGGAAGGTTAAAATCTGCGTCCGGAGGGTTTGTTTAGCTGCTTTGCCGACAAGAGTCAACTTAAAGATAAGAAAAGTCCTTATGGATGATGGTTGTGTCTTCTGTGGAAATGAACCTGAATCGGTTGAACATGTTCTGTTGCATTGTCCTCATGCTAAAACTATATGGAGCTACAATCGATTGGGTTCGCAAGCTCTGCAACAAGGAGAGATTGGAGTACAAGATTGGTTGGATCGTTTGGCTTCCAATTTATCACGGGAGAGCTTTGACTTAGTGCTTGTTCTGTTATGGAACATCTGGAAAGCTCGTAATGAGCTGTTTTGGAATGGTGTGGTAACGCCACCTCAGGAAATTCCAATTAAAGCAAGTACTTGGTTGCTAGAGTTTAAGAAATGGAATATGGTGCAACCTAAGACTAAGTCTGACGGTGTGCAGAAATGGAGGAAGCCGGAGGAAGGGTGGTTCAAATGCAGTTTTGACGGTGTGTGGGATGAACATGGGATGCCGTTGGGGAGTTTGTTGCTGCAGCGGCAGTAAAAATGGAGGGGATTACATCGGCTCTGTTGGTAGAAACTTTAGCAGCTCGTGAAGCGGCGCTGCTCGTACAACAATGGCGGGCGCAAAAGGTAATTTGGGAGGTGATGCCTTGTTGGTGATAGCTGCCGTTCAGAATGGTGAAAATGTTAATCATGAAAATACTGTAACCTCCATCTCCCTCCTTGCAATGCCTTGGATGAATTCTCCTGTTTCATTTTATAAAAAACGAAACCTAATAAATAACAAAAAAAGAAGGGCAAAAGACTGTTTACTACCTTCAAGTTTCATGGTTTTCAACGTTTAGTACATCAATTTTTTTTCATCCCAGAGTCATACCTAAAGTGTTAATTTTGGGACAGTCTCATACATCCGTTAGTCAAACTGTTAACTTTGCTGTTAAATGATGATGTGGCACCCACGTGGACAATGACTAGGCGCCACGTGTCATTAAAAAAATTTAAAAATAATTAAACTATTAAAATAATTAATAAAATGAAAGTAAAAAAAAAAAAAAAAATCCTTTGATCCCCATTATCTTCCCCACCCCGACCCCCCATCCTTTCTCCCTCTACACATCCATCCTTCCCCTCCCCCTTCTCCCTAGATTCCCTTTCGTTTTTTCTCTTGTTCCCTCTGCATAGGCCCAGTCCTTTGTCAACTTTGAGAACTCAATGCCGTCCACACCCTCTGCACATCCAAGAACTCAGCTGTCCACTCCGTCGAGGTCCAGGAACCCGACAAGTCCCTTGTCCTCAGATGGAAGCACGGCGACCCTCTCTTCCATAGAAATCTCGCCTAGCTGCAGAGATTCAAGAACAACAACCAACCAACCAACCAAATCTCAATCAAACAACCAATCAGTCAGTCAATCAATCAATCAATCCAAATCCAAAAATTCAAATTGTAGAGAGAGAAAAAGAGAGGAGGCGTACAGAGATAGCTTTGGGGGTGGCGTAGGGAGGGCGGAGCTCCGGTGAGGAAATCAGAGAAAGAGGACGGGAGGGAGGGATGGTGGTTGGTGCGGGTTGTAAAGGAGAGAAGAGAGGGAGGGAGAGGGAGGGAGAGTGGGTGGTTGCAGAGGAGAGAAGAGAGGGTGGGGGTTGTAGCAAGTGCTAGGGGAGGAGTGGATGGAGAAAGGGTGGCTCGGGTAGGCAAGGGGTGGGTGATGGGGGTGCTCGGATGGAGAAGATGAAGGGGGTGGATGGGATGAAGGGGGCGGAGGGGATGAGGGAAGGATGGATGTGCAGAGGGAGAAGGGAGGGCGGTCGGGGTGGGGAAGACAAAGGGATATGGGGAATTTTTTTTAAAAAATTTTAATTAATTCATTATTTTAATAGTTTATTATATTTTTAATGACACGTGGTGCCCAATCATTGTCCACATGGGTGCCACGTCACAGTTAATGGGAGACTTAACAGTTTGACTAACGGATGTATGAGACTGTCCCAAAATTTACACTTTAGGTATGACTCTGGGATGAAAAAAAATTGATGTACTAAATGTTGAAAATCATGAAACTTGAGGGTAGTAAATAGTCTTTTGCCCAAAAAAGAATGATTTAAAAAAGGTGATAGCATGGATAGGATTAATACTCAGCGGAAATGAAATTGTTATAATAAAAATAAAAAAATTGAAACTGCATACCAATGAAATCAAGTTGTTTGTTTGATTCGAAAAACTAAGAAAAGTAGAAAATCATCAATGACCTAAATCGACAAAACTAAAAAGATTTTGCAAAACCTAATTTAATCACCCTACATATATGAACAATAATATACAATTTAGGGTTTTGTATGCTTTGCTTATGTAATGAAGATTCAAGAGACTAATAGCTTGATTCATTGTAGAAGGCATCAAAATTTCATATCAATCCTATGAAAGTTGTAGACTTCATCGGCAAAGAGGGAGATGGAGGTTACAGTACTTCGAATCAATGGAGTTCTACGTCATTTCTTGTTTGCACTCTTAAAACTAGGGTTTCCTCCTTTTTAATTTTATTTTTAATTACCTTCCATATTTTATGTTTTATGTTTTTTGAATTTTATTTTTATGTTTAATATTAGTTAAAATCCACTTAAGCATCCATGTTATTTAATGAATGAATATGGACCTTTGGATGTTTTGTAATCTAAAGGTTTAAAAAAAGTGTAAAAATATTTGTCAAAATGTTTGTCCCTTGATCCTATTCCTATATATATATATATATTATTTTTTATTTTTTTGATGTATGATGCAAAATATATATAGGAGTTGAGTGGGTTAGTAAAGATTTATTTTTCCAGAAGGGTTAATATCTCCATTAGCTAAACCATTCCTTACCTTGCCCTTGGACTCTTATTTTGTTTGTATACAATCAACGGAGGCCTCCTCCACATATGTTGCAACTTCTTCAATAGCATGCTATTATTTCGTCTTTCCCTTAAATAAGTCATCAAATTTGGTGCTTTTTGATCCCTAGTTGCTATGGAGAACAACAATGAAATACAATTAATTCCTCTATTCAAGTGGTACTCACTTTTTTATATTTTATTTTATTTTTATAATTAGGGTTGTTTTATTTAAACCCCACAATTTGTTGAAAACACCCCACATTCAAATTTTCTTCTTACAATTCCAGCTTTACCCTTCGTTTTGTTGAATCCTTCCCACCTCCAACCCACAAACAATAAAATCCCACAGCTACCCACCCCACAACCACAACGACAACTTTGCCGATGGCCCCATTCAATCGTAATTTTCTTTCTTTCATAGTTACTTTTGTTTGGCATTTGACATAGGACTGAGGGGAATGATCACACATGCATTGGGCTATTGCGATTATGGATGAAAATGCAGCCTATAAAATTGTTAAAAGCCCCTTTCCATCATTTCCATGATAGACAATTTGGATGTTGCGATGAAATTTTTAGATTTATAAAGTGTATAGCTAACTGTATGAAATTTCAATTTTTTTTTGTTTTGGCTAGGTTGAATGGAATCACGGGAGAAGGGTGGTGGTGGTGAGTGGGTGGATATGTTAGATTTTTTTGTATTTGGGAGGTGGGGTGAATTCAACAAAAGGAAGGGTAAAGTTGGAATTGTAGGGAGAAAATTTAATTATGGAGTGTTTTCAACAAATTATGGGGTGTGAATAAAAAAACCCTTATAATTATTGTGTAAGGCTTGTTTTATTAACACCCTACATTTTGTTGACTACACCCTACTCCCCACAATTGCTTTTTAAATTAAAATTTTTCATCCCACGTATTTTTAATACAAGAGGATGTCTTCCCAAGATGCTAGGTTCAACAAAAAACATTCAGAGACGAAGTCTTGTAATTTTCCACATTGGACCATTTGTTGAAAAGTATATGTGTTCCAACCTGAGATCATCACACTTAGAAGTAACAATTGTATAGCAATTTTCCTTTGATCTTGGAACCACCAATATGTTCTTCCCACGTTTATCAACAATTCTGCAACTCGTCTTGGAAAAGCAAATTTCATTAGCAACTTTGTCACAGAGTTGACCAATACTAAGGAGATTAGTTGATAATCCAACCACATAGCAAACATCTTCAAGCATAGGAAGTCCAAGAATCTTCAACACTCATTTTCCAACAAGCTTAGCCTTGTCTCCTTCACAAACTCAATCATACTACTTTTGAATGGCACAAGAGATTAAAAAAAAAAAAACATCTTTATCACTTGTCATATGATGAAAGCAACCACTGTCGAGGTGCCAAGTGTCTGGCCTAGAGGATGATGTTGAACTTTGAGCAAACAAACACTTCCCAAATCTACGTTGAAAGCCACTTGAACTTGACTTGAAATTTCTTAAGCTCGAAGAATTAACAATCTTGGACATTCTGCTGACCTTTATAGTTAAACAATTCACTTGTTCCTTTAGATCATTTTCCCTTTCCATGTGTAGTTTTCTACACCTAAGTATAATGTGGCCAAGATCACAACAATGATGACATTTAGGAACGAATCTAGACCCTGAAGTAGAGTTAGCCAAAGGAGATATAACAAATAATTCCTTACAAGCATGCAAGTTCACACTCATGGAACTTGAATTGTTATCATCACAAGCAACCACATCATTACCTTCAAATTAATTTCTTGTAGCGAATGCTCTTTCTGATGAGTCAACACCCATAGACAGACAGTTTAACTAACAAGTAGCCTCATTCAATCCAGAAGTCAACTTCAAATTAGTTTCCCGATATAGTTCATTGTTTTCCCGTAGCAAATGAATTTGTTGAAGCAGACTTTCGTGCCATATCATTAACCTTTGAACATGATCTTCAAGAAAGGAAATTAGGTCATCCATTTCATCATCATCATCATAGAAGAAATCTCTTTCATTTAACTTGTGAAGTTCATCCTCTAACCGTATGATTTTGTCACTCAGTTCTGATCAAACTAGTCAAAGAGACACAACTTTCTTGCAACACAGATACATTTTTGGTAAGCTCAACATTATCCAATGTTGAAACACACATCTCATCAAATGGAGATTCATACAAATTGGACAACTCCTGAGATGATGACATATTGGTATCATCCAGTACTTTGTCTTTTCCTCTGGATGATGTTTCATCAACAGATGTAACAAGCTCATCTTTATCATCTGATGACTTGTCTGATGATACAAAATCTTGCTTATCATTGTCACTCCAAGTAGCCATCATAGCCTTTTCAGGTTTCTTACTAAGAAGTCTGGTGTTGTCACATTTAGCTACACGGTGCTCACTTCCACCATACACAAAATAGGGGCCAGACACTTTAGATAGACTTTTGTCCTTCTTTTTTGAAGAATCACTATATTTCTCACCAGAAAGTAGTTTTTCACGATTGTTTGATGACCCCTCAGACCACTTGACATCCCTTCCTTTGTTTTTGAGGCCTTTTCTAAATTACTTGACAAATAGGCAAGATCATCCTCTGAGAGCAAATCACAAGAGTCACTTGTAATATTGCGGTTATCAACACTTTGAAGAGCAACATCTTTTCCC